TTATTATCACAGTCAGACGTGGTATTTCATTTACTTTGCTTATGTAGTTATGACGTCAGCTTGTCATCATGAGATTATACCATGCTGCTTTGCAACAATCAAGCTAAAAACAGCAGTGCAGACTTGAATAGTTTAAAGCTAATTATCAAAGTCACGCTTTAAACTTAGGAGGCTAACATACATATGTTTTTTTGGGAGAAAATTTGTAATTGGACAGGTGCTAATTGTAATGTATAAGGTAATTTTTGTAACTAGGGCAAAAGATAAGTTTGTAATTAGTGTAAGTTACTGATTATTTTACTTTAAGGATTAAGCATAATTTTTATAACAATAGTAAGTGAAGGCTTTCGTGCAAATAGGGCGTATATAGCTTTTTGGCCGATTTTTATTTTTTGCAGGATCGAGCTAATTTTTGGCTGACTGACTTGTTTTGACATGAAAAGCATCGTTGCGTATTTTTTGTTGATTTGCGCTTCGTTTTCGAGAAATAAACGTATGCGAAAAAACTCAGTTTTCCAAGCGGCATTTTTTGGAGCGAATCCTTCGAAGGAGAATTCCGACGCGACGCGCACTTAAACGATTACTTTAGCTTCGACAGCACCGTTTTGTTTTAAATAGACGTTTTCAGTTTTGAAAGAAGTAGAGAAATGGAACGGAAAAAAAAATCGACCTCGTATTGAACCGGTGTCACGACAAAACAAACTCGAATCCGGCCCGTTCAGCGCCTTATTTGCTTGCGCTCATGAAGCAACAATAAGAAAATAGCGTAATAATACGAATAAAAAAACTAGCGGCAAATGCCACGCTTCGGTGACTTCATCGTTTAGCAAAATAAAAGGTTTCTTTTGTTTTTCGTTCAACAAAAGATCTCCAAAAGATACCCTTAGAAAACTGAGTTTTTTGCATACGTTATTTCTCGAAAACAAGCGCAAATCAACAAAAACAATTACGCAACGACGCTTTTCATGTCAAAACAAGTCAGTCTGCCAAAATTAGCTCGATCCTCGATCGGCCCAAAAAGCTATATACGCCCTTTTTGTACGAAAGCCTTCAAGTATTATTGAGCAGACATGTTTGCAATTACTGTTAGTAACAACCTTGCAAGTAAATCTGTTGTCAATCAAATATACTTTAACATACATTTGTGCTAAATAAAAGGACAAGTTCCCTAATTGATGACGGTCTTAATTCTCATCAAATGCCTGCTTTAAAATGTACTGATCTTACTAAGGAGAAGTTGAAAGTTGATAGTAGTTATGATGGGGGAGTTAACTGAATTGTTGATCAGCAAAGAAATTTGTCAGTTAACTGCAACTTTGATCCAGTTAACGAGTGAACATGACTGGACAATGTGCAAAAACATTTAGTGTAGCACACTGCAGTTGCAATCAAGATACTGAAGAACATCTTGAGCATATCAGGTTTAGTGTGCATCAAAATATCTTGGCTAAACTACATGTATGTAAGAGCTGTAGTCCCTTATTTGCTTCTCGTTAGATATTTAAGAATGACACTTCTTGCATTATAACTCATTCTACAAAACCAAGGGTTTCATTACCATTTTCAACAGGAGGGCGACTGGTTTTCACAGGCGGGAAAACTTTTTGAACTGAAATTCTCTATAACAAAACTTTTCCTGTAGATGGTCAAACCAGGTGGACAAAATCATCCTTACAGCCACTCAATTTGCCTGGTGCCTGGTGCCCGGCCCTTAATGAAACCCCTGACAAAACACCCAATACATGTACCAAAGTCCTTAGTGGCCCTGAAGGTACGCAAGCCAGCAAGTCAGCTCACAACCACAAGCACAGGGTTAGGAAGGGGAGAAGGTGACTGGCATTTCATTATCTAAAAGAGAAAATCAGTATTTACCAATGTAACTGCTGCTTTTGATTTCTTGGTCTTGCCTTGGTGCAGGGCGAGTTGAACAAATCGCACATTCTCCATCTAAAAAGAAAGAATGTTAATTTCTGTACATGTCAGTGCACTGAAAACCCAACATAAAATCACACTGTTGTGTGTAAATTGGATTACACTGTTGTTTATTATAATAATAATTGGTTAAACTTGTCGTTCTCACCTTGCCTATCGTTCTTACACATCTGTTTGTGTGAAGGTTTATAACTGAAGATCGAAAAAGACATATATTAAGTCTGTCAACAAAACTAGGACAGGTTGTATTCTAGAGAACAACACTTCACAAAAAAACTGTCGTTTTAACTCCTATACCATTTACGTCTGCTCTCTATACACACTGCAGCGTAACAAACTCAATGGAACTCATTGCTTAGCTTGAATTCAAAGTATACAATCATTCATTCAATGACAGCAATGTTTGTGACAGATGTTAGTGTAGAATCGCATACCTTTGATACCCAACATTGTGGTGTACAACAGGAAAAATCCACTTTCATCAAAGACTAGCAAGATTGAAAATCATCCATTCTTGATTAGTATCTACTGGGTAACTTTAATAAGCAATAAAAGAAGAGGAATATACAGTTGTGCACTATTTCCAAAAAATCTTACAAAACAAAACATTAAGCAGCTCAATTTAAGTCTTTCTACATTTGATCTCCATAAAGTTAGCCTTTAAACTCCCGTAGATGGATTTCAGCTTGTTGTTCTACTCTAGCAACAACTTTTCTGGAGGCATAAAGTGATTAGAGGAAATCCATCTACGTGCACAGGTTTCAATAAAGTACATGCTAATAATATAAATTGACCAGTGTGGATACTATTATTTTTACAAGCTCATTACCTACATTGGAGAACCGTAAGGTATCTGTCTTCTCTAAATCTCTTTCTGTTGCCATTCTTCTACCAAACTCCATATCAGGTAACTGCTGACTTTGCTAGAAGAAATGAAAACAAAGAGAACTTAAAAATAACATCCATTGCAATCCTAGTGACTGAAATAACCAGAAGAATTATGACCAGTATCTTGAGGTACTAATTACTCCAGTTTCTATAGCATGAAGTGACTAAGAGTATTTCTACCCCTCCCTCCCGTACTGGATGGGATGCTAGCCCATCCCAGGGTTACCCCCAGCATTAAATTTCCCAGTACCCATTTACGTACNCCCCCCCCCCCCCCCCCCCCCCCCGCCACTGGACGGGATGCTAGTCCATCTAGCAATGCTACATAATGTCTTCCCAGTCAGAGTATGACACTTGCAGACTGCAGAATTTTTAACTAATATCGTATCCCATTTCCATTATCAAGGACTAACTATAAAAGGGTAACCTGAGTGCTAACCGGAATGATATTTAGGCCTACATGTACCTGTAGTCTGCAATCTGTATTCTGCAAATGTCCAAAACCACCTCCCAGTTTAGGTGGTGAGGTTGACCAAACAATTTGCTACCATTTAGTACACTCTTGTGTATTGAAGAGGGGGCGGAGGGGATGCATTGTGAAAATTACAAGTTTCTTGCACAAAAATGATCCCATCCAAACTTGGCTGCACTATATTCTCAAATTTGATAAAAGTGTGCTGGTTGTCAAGTTACCTGCTGCATCTCTGTAAAGACCTTTAGGGACTCATCGAACACTCTTGTTTTCTTCCCAGTTAGAAATCGGAACACTCTGACCTAAGGGTGACAACAAATTTAAATTACTTGTGATCTGTAAGTCTGGAAAATTCTTGTAATAAATTCATTACTTGATATACACCTTCCTGTCCATTGCCAAGGTAGCAAATAGTTTACCATCTGGTGAAAATGTCAGCGATACAGGAACAGTCTTGCACTAAATTAAGCAAGAAAAAATAAATGCTAATTAAATTGATCAGAAGTTACATGTACTCTGATGAAGGTGGACAGAAGCCATCAAAAATTCTAGTAAGACCAAAACAGATCGGCTTTTAAAGTTAATTTTTCACAGAAGTTTTCATATTTGCATCTTTGTGACCCTGACCCAGTTAAAAAGGACTTCAAAGTGCTAATGCCAGAATATATCCCCAAATGAACTAGAGACTTTTCTGTAAAGCGCAAGTATGTAAATATACATGTAAAATAGGGACACCATAGGCAAGCATTGCATGCACAGAGGGAAATGCACTAGGCTCAATTTCTGCCGCTTTCTTGAGTCCGATCTACGTTCCTCCCCGAGAAGAGATGGGCGGACGCATGAACGGCAAAGCATGTCTGTGACATAAACTCATAATTTAATTCTTGTGGCGTTTCTGGTGGCTGGAAATGTCATCTGGTGACAATCATAGGCAGACCCACACGACTCCTACGGCTCGTAACATTTGTACATGTGCCGTTTTCGCCACCTCATCTTTTAATTTTGGCCTTCCAACCTATTTTGTTTCACATTTATTGTTGCCAAGAGACATTATATGCTGCGTTCTATTGAAGAGTTTTTTTTTAAGTAGAGCAGAGCCGTTTGACTGTGGTGTGGCAAACGTCATATCAAAGGTCATGTTGTCATGTTGGTGTGCATGGTGTTGACACCATGTTTATGTTTTGCTAGTTCAGTTTGCTTTGGCTCATTTAAAAATTTAGTTTTGTCTGGCTTTGCCAGAGACTGGTGTCGCTCTCCTTCAAAAAGACTACTGTGCACATCAATTTGACTTACTGTAGTGTTTTGTTTCTTGAGATTGATGTTTGCATTCATCCCTCTCTTTGTTGACTTTGTCCGTTACCTGACATTCTGGCACCACATGATTCAAATATAGATTCTTATGCATAAGTCTGTGGACCATTTTGCATGTTGTATATACCACTATGGTTTAGATCAGGCACGATTTCATCAGTTGATGGTATTTGGTTAAATGTTCCACTAACGTGATTGCACTTCATATCGCACAGCTTCTTTGATACTGCGAGAAAGGTAATTTCTGCAGCCTGCTCGATTCAGGCAGGCAGATTTCTTATTGGTCGAAATTAACAATGTCAAGTCCACGCATCCAGCCGTGAGTTCAGGGGAAGAATGCGGGCTCTTTTCCTGAACACCAGCTGGTAATCGAGTCTAGCAGTGCACCAAAGACACAGAATAAAATTTGCTCAATAAATATTACAAGAAAGTTAATCTAAGTACTGTTTGTTACAAGACGATTCAACAACTCAACTAAAGCGTAACTGCAGCAAAGGCAGAAATCCATGAACATGACTTAATTTAAAATGTTGCATCCATAATACCGGTAAATTATCATAATTATTGTCAACAAAAAATAAATATAATTACCATAATAAATTCAAAGAGGTCTGTATCTGTTTTGAACTCAAAGTCAACATTCTTGGGAAACTGGAGATCATGTTTAATACCAGACCAATATTCCACCATGCCTGCCTCATCTGCTGACACCGCAACATCATACACAGCATTGTACTGTCAAACAAAACACAATCAACAAACTGACTGGGTAAAAATCATGCACTTTGATTGAGCTAACAGTAAAGTTTGCACTGTAGCCAAAGTGATCTACTTTACCAGACGTATCCTGGTTTCTACAGCATAAAGTAAAGATGAGATGTAACATATAATCTATCACAGGTAACTGCCAACAATTTGTTAAGTTCCCCTCGGCCAAAAAGTCACTGGTAGCCAATAATTTCTTTTTCACTCTTGGGTGGAGTTAAGCCACTCATATACAATATATGATGGAGATAATGTAAGACTGTCTTGACCAAAAACTCAAGTCACAAAGCCCAGGCCAGTGCTACAAACCCAAACAGCTTGATACAAAACCCAGTGCATTAACAAAAATTGATTTCAGTGTAGGCCTTCGCTTCTCTTTCACTTGGCCAAGGACTTTCAAATTGAACTGTCTACACATATTATCCAGGCACGTTGATAATCAAGTTCTACAATGAATCAAGAATGGTCTTAGTTTTCATCTAGGCATTGATAAAATCGACTAGTGACTGGGATTTAAATCAGCCATTAATTAAGACCGGTAACTGTTTTAATATATCAATAAATATGACTACAGAGTCTGACTTCAGTCTGAGTTTTGAAATGCTCAGATTATAGTTTTCGGTGGTGGCACCTATTGATGTTCAGGTCAGCCCAGGGAACAGGATAGTATGTCCATGTATGTGTGAATACCTTAATAAATGTTACAGGCTTGGTATGAAGATTCAGAGTATGAAGAGGTGTGCTTGTCCCTCGTCCATCATAAACATGAATCACACCTGTTTCCTTCTCTGAGCTGACGGAAAAGAAAACAGATTTATTAGTAATAAGTCTGACTTATTTACCCATGCAAGTAATTTACTTAATAAATAGTAACATAACAGTTACCATACACATGTACTTGCACAATAGGTAGCCTGACAAACATATATATCAAGCTAGTCAAACTATACTGAGCAAGTGAATATTCACTGTGGCACACTGCAGTTGCAATCAAGACACTGCAGGAAGTCTTGAGCATATCAGGTTAAGTGTGCATAGTCTAATGTTCACAATCACACGACCTACATATGTGTATAGCAACTGATGCAACTTTTTTTGATATGGTTAAAGTTCAAATCCTAGAAATTCAAGAAACTTGATGGTTCATTAGTCCATTGTAGGTTAACCACCCTTAGCCCAAGTAAAGGCCCCTAGCTTTTTGTCAGGTTGCCTACCATTAGCTTACACCACAATGGCAAGCAAGAATCTATCCACATTCCTGGGTAGGGAGAAACACTGTGACTCTTATGTTGCTTGTCCTGGCTGCCCTTATATTACATGTATAATTAAAACTACACTCTTATCGATTATGACAAATACAAAATATTCGGAGTATTGAACATTTTGTTTAAGAAATCAACTGAATGCTTACCAGGCCACTGAGGCCACAGCTGCACCAGGAGGAAAAATCCATTCACACTGTCCTGGAATGTAATCTAATCGTAACATGTTTATCATATCTACAAAGTAAACAATAATATTAAACAAATAAACTGACAATGTATCAAGGTGTATAAGTTAGATCGCTACTCTCCCTGACCAGGTATATATATACACGTAGGACATGTGGCTATCCCAACCAAGGAACAGTAAGTTAGTCAGAATGAAGTCCCATTCTTACCAAAATTCACGACATCAAATACTTTAAGTGATTTATCCTCAGCTGTAGAACACAGGATCTGACCATCAGCACTGGCAGCAATACAGTGTATGACACCTGTATCAAAATGTGAAAATTAAGAAATTCAAATTATATAATTCAGATTTACATTTACAATATAATACAGGAAAAAAATCTCCTTATTTCACCAGGTCAAGATCTCTACTGAATTATTATAAGTTAATTTATTACAGTCATAATTATTATATTAATTAATTCAATTAATATATTATTCAAGAAATGAAACACACTTCCATGAAAATTTGCAATTATCTCACCCATATGTGCTTTGAAGTGTTTAACAAATTCTACTCCCTCATCTTGCCTCTTCCAAAATTTAATGTGGCCATCGCAACTTGCCGTAATAAGAAATTCTGTTCTGCGAAATACAGGTCCATACATGAGTCCAATACAGTACAAGAGAATGTGTGAAACAATCTCACAGAAAAAGATTTAAGGACTAATGAATTATCTTGATAATAGGCAGTTGTGATTATGGAAATAATGCCTGATAAAAATTCAGGCTTAACTGGAGTTGAACCCGTGATCTCTGCGAAGTCAAAGTGAGCTATCACAATGTAACCAACAGTCCCATTTGGTTTGAAAGCTAGTTTGCAATTTACAATATGTGTGACCAAAATAGAGATCTGAAAGAACAAAATGTCCTGCTACATAATAAATAATGGATCTCTGTCAAGTTACATTATGGAACATGGAAGTTTAGAATAGAAATGAAAACATGTACTGTAAATTCTGTATCAGGCAACTTACTCAGTGACCACAATGTGTGAAATTAAATCCCGGTGCATAAAACTCTTCTCATAGGACTCAGCTGATGGAATATTTCCAAGATAGACTTTTTCAAACTCTAAAACTTGAGATAAAATGTATATGCACAGTACAATTTAATATAAGATTTTAAAGATGTCTTAATGACCATGGCCAGTCAGTTCAGCTGTATGTGCAACATTTTGATCAGTAGATGGACATGCATGTAGAAAGGAACTGTAAAAGATTCTACAGAGTAGCTTAGACCATTTTTTTTGTCCAGTCTACAAAATATAAATATTACAGATCTTTGCTAGTACTTTTAAAAAGGTACACATTTGTGTGTGCATGGCAATTAAAACTATTTGCTGCAAGCTTAAGTGTCCCCTATAGGGCCATTCCAATCTATTTAATATAGATCCATACCCTCCATATTCGGGGGTTCCTTGGAAAGCCATTCAAAAGAAAATTCTGCAGAAAATTAATAGTAAGCCCCCTCCCATCTCCCTATGCAAAATTCAGGCTGTTGCTTGGAAAAACACTTCAGAATGCAGGGTTGGAAGAATATACCCCTGGGATTTACCATAAACATCTTAATCCCCCATGGATTTCGTAGGTCTTGATGCCTCCCTTCCAAGGTCTTCAATTAAGGGGGGAGGGGGTTATTCAGATACAAACTGGAGCCACCCATAGTTTCATGAGAGCACAACTTGCACTTCCCAATGGTTAGGCATACTGTAAGTGTAGCTTTGAGAGAGTTGCACTGTACATCCATATACAGAGCTGTAATGCATGTCAATAAAAATAATCTTCTTGAGTTCTATTCCACAGTACATGAGTAACCTAGAGCTTATCTGTTCCTGCATCATTCAAGAATACTCTGGAAGTTCTTTATACAGTAATTTTAAACAATTATTGGATGAGGTTTTTTGTGACATCCAGAATAATCAAGGTTGAGGTATTCGGCCTGGCTGATAACACTAATTAAACCTAGACCTTGATTATTTCAGATATCACAAAAACTGAATCTCATAATAAATATTGTTTTATTACACATTGTTTTAAAGAAAATAATGACAAACACATTATCACACTGAACACAGTTTATTTTCGACAAGCCATGTTCTTATGTGAACTTGACATTGCTCTTGAAAATCATGCATATTTGCATGCGCAACCTACAGATTATTCAGTAATCTGCTAGCAGGCTAGTGAATAATCTGTGGGTTGCGCTGTTTCCCATAATTAACCGTATGCTTTTAACCAATGAGAAGACAGATGGTGACTACAATAATGTATAATAAATAATAACAGTAATTCCACTTCATCCAAAGTTTCTTTTAATTCCAAATGTTGTCACCTTTTGTGACAAATTCCATTGATTGAATAAATGCCCTTATTAGTTCAGGAATTACGTTCACTTTCCCAAGGCTAGTCACTGACACATGGAAGGTATGAAAAACATGACCTTAACTCGGGTCATCAAAGTACATGTAAATGCCAGGAATGATTTCAGTCAATGCCGAGATCATACTTTACAGAAATGTTTTATACTAAATTTACCTCGTCTCTTCTTTAGTTTAGGAGGAGGCGCCGGCATAGGACCAATCATGTCATCTTCTTCGTCTTCGTCGCTGTTCTCGGCAGCGTCCAAACCACGCTTTCTGCTCCCTTCGTCCGCCATTTTAAAATTGCAACGAAATCTTACTGGTCAGAGACGAATGCGTTTCAAGTATGCGCAAGCGCAGATAGATGCTCCCTTGGGAAATTTGTCTATTTATACTCCACCGTCCACCGACGGTAATCAATGACTAACGTGAAATGCTAGGAGTATTATTACAGGGCAGAGATTAAGCACTTTCACTTCATTCTGAACCGAGTCTAAGCTTTTACTTCTGTCTGGGAAACAGTTCATTCAATTCGCCATGAACTGTTATTGGTAAAGGCGGTGCGCGGTGTGGCAACAGGCGAACGGAGCTGAAATTGATGGCGGAAATCAGCGCGTGTTGTGTAGTGGCGAGAATTTCTGTTTCAAGCCCAGCCATGTTTTCAACGATTTAGCTGCGTCAAAGGGGCTGTAAACATGTGTGATTGAATGCTGTCGTTTGAGGAATAGCTTAGAGAGACTATGGATGATGTGCTAGGCAGTTCTGTCGCGGTTCGTCGCACTGAAAGTGAGGGTAGCACGACAAGTGAAGACAGGGACAGCTCACTTCGCGTGTTTTTGGAAAAAGAGTCACTTGGACATTTGAGCGCTCTCTTCCCAGAAAATGTACCTCTTAGCTATTTTCAGGCTCTTACAGAGGACGATTTGGAACACGATTACAACGTCATAGATGACAAAGAAAGAGAACTTTTAATGAAGGCTATCGTGAAACTGCAGGAGGAATTTTCAGCAGAGGAGGTGAGCTTTTCTACCACTGTCTAAAGATCAGTAGAAATTCACCGGCCAGGCTAAAATTACATAATACTTTCCGAGTTTAATTTATCCTCGTGTTAACTTGAATTTTACCTGAAGTCAAGCAGTTTTCTGAAGTTTTAGGCTTTCGTTTCTATTAGCTCCAACTGTGTATTTAAATATTTTCGCGGTTTTTCAATTTTTGTTTGCTTCCCCTTGAATACATTTTCGTGTTTCCTAGGCCGTCGGCACGCCAGGAAAAACACATCTCCGCGCGGAATAATATCTGCTGTGAGATATTTATCGCCTAAGATACTTATCTTTGTGATCAGACGAATGCTTTTCCTTACGCTTTTGCCTTAACTCGACTTACATATTTGTATTGCACATGTTTTTCAATTTAGTTTGATTTTATTTTTGTCTGTTTACTATAAGCTTTATATTCGTGGTCTGATGTTAGGCTTTGATCCAAAGTGTGTCATCTTCCGAGACGACATTCATGTATTTCCTGACAATACGGTCAAAAACACTTTAATTTGGCCAAGTACACTTACCGAATCGATCAGATCAATTTCTCTAGAAGAACGCGCGAAATTTCACAAAATCGCATAAAATTTGTTGACTTTCCTGATTCCAGTCGCGTTGTGTTTTCGTCTGAATTATTTCCTTTGATCCAAATTAAATGTGGGGGTGTTTTCCGCTGGGAGTTGCTATTTAGCCCACAGTATGTCTTTGTTGTCGATCTATATTTATTGCTTCGGATGCCAGTTCACCCCGCATTTTTCAGAACACATCTTATTTACGATCAAAAGTTTGTCGCGCCATAATAATTTGTAATTTATCTCTCTCGAACTTGTCGTGTTCCAACTGCAGAGAATAAGTCTCAACTAGGAATATAGACAACCTGCTCCACCATCGTCGAGAAAATTTATTGCGTGTGAAAAATCTTATGCGATGTTAAGCAACGATGGGAAAGTGGTTTTGTGGATTAGACAAAGCTCTTTCAATTCTCTCTTCGTAATGGTACGTAAATGGGTAGACAATTCATATGAGGTTGTAAGTGAGTTGTTCTTTATTATGCTAATGTACTCCATGTTCATTACATCGGCCACAGCAGGGAATATTCGAGACCCTGTTTTTTCCATCAAGATATGACGATTTTTTACAGAGATAAACTGCTTCGATCGATGTATTAGGGAATTCCTGAATTGTGTTTGTGATTTCTCTCTACTTAATTTGGCACTGACGTGCAATTTGCATGATCATAAAATCTAGGTTGTACAAATAATGAGCAGCCTATTGTTGACAAAATAAATCTTTTGTTGGTTCAGAGAGTCGCTTACAAAACCTTGTCTATTAGTTTTTCTTGCTAAGGAAAAACTTGTGAACCTCAGTCATTCATGATAACTTATTTTCAGTTGATACTGCAATGAAATCTTCTTGTAGAGTTTGAATGTTAATTTTTTTTAACAAATCAGTCTAAAAAACGTCTACTGTATTTCAGGATTTTAATCAAAACAGATCAAAGGTAATTAACCTAAAAATCCAATCTATTTTTTTTTTTTTTGCATTAATGTTTAGGCTGGAAAGCTATTAACTTCAGCAAGTGAGGATCTTGAGTGCTTAAATAATGTTCTTGAAAAACCTCCAATTTGTTTGTTCATCAGATGCATTTCTGCACTGTCAATTTTGTCAAGCAAGTTTTAAATTTCATCTGTAAGACAAGCCTGGTCTCAACAGGATTTGTTTCAAGGACTTCATATTTTTCTTATTATTTCCTGGTTTCTTCTATTTTTAAAGACAGTATTTTATGATTTAATTGATATGTGAAAGTCATGGTTTTGTTGTACTATTTTTGTACATAGATGTTTAATAATCATAAAACTTCTCTTTCTATAGAATTTTGCCAGCAATTTTTGGGAGTGACCCCCAGCCTCTAGATCTTTCTTAGAATACAGATTTATATCCTGACATTGAAACAGTCTTATAGTACAATGTATCGCTGAATCAGAGGTAAATACGTTTATATGTCTTGTTTCAAGCAATCCTTGGCACTCCCAAGGGAACCTTAAGGCAGAATCATTTCCTTTGATCTTACAGGCAAATTGAAAGTGTCGTTTTGAGCAAATTATGTTTAAGACAGCCAAAAAAATAGTAGAAATAATTATGAGACAGATCTGGCATTAACAGTGCATCTTAGATTAACAGACAACTTAATTGATTCCTTTCGATTCTGCTCAGAAGCAATATTTAGTCCATTTCAAATA